AAATATAATAACTCTGAAAAGAATGTGTCCCTCCTTATGTTGTTCAAGCACCTTAGTTCAACCTCTATGTTTTAAAACCTAAGTCTGAGACTGAAGTGAAATCCTGCCTGAGTTTGAAGGACATGTATACCTGCATACAGAAGTGAAATAGGAGTATTTCCTTTCCCTCCTTTAATGACTGTGAACTAAGAAAGGCAGAGAAGGAGTGAGAATGGGGGACTGACTTGCAGATTGGTAGTTGGAAAAGATAAAGGACTGGGGAGTACTGCAGAGCTTTAGCCTGTCAAATGCTCCTGTGTCCTTCTGTTACGAGTGTAGCATTATGTTGGCCTTGTGTCAGGCTGGGCCAAAGGTCCTGGATGTATGCTTAGTAAGTGCTGAAATTTTGGTGAGAGAGACAAGAATTTGAACATGGAATGATGCTAAAGAGGCAGAATCAGGTGAGTTACTGTGGTGGAGAGGTGATACTGTGGTGATGGGCAGGGTGGAGAACTTAACTTCACAATTTTGTTAAGGGTGGAGCCCATAGAATTGGTCATGATTTCTTTTGCCACATTATATTCTCCTGGTGATTATATTCTCTAATCCATTAACCATAGTAAAATATAAATTCTAGGTGGAATTCTCCCTTGTAAAGAGAAAAACCAATATTTATTCAATGTGTATATTCTAGCCTAACAAGATATGGAATAGTGATTAATTAGTAAAGGGCCTAATTAATTTTCAATACCAGTGAATTAACAGTAGAAATACATTTTTTCATTTAAGTGAGCTTTGTTTTTTCCTTAATCCAGTTGACATACCGAGATACCTTGGTATATATTCCATACTTCCCTTTCATTGCACACTCTTCACCCCAACTAATAATTCCAGTTAGAAAACTGGTCCCTTCCACTTCAGTAACATGGGGACCCCCACTGTCTCCTTGACATGAATCTTTACCTCCATCATGGTAGCCAGCACAGAACATGTTATTATAGATGGAGAATTTTGTGGATCGGAGACATGTGGCTCGGTCAACAAGTGGAACTCTAAGGTACTGAAGAATTGAAGCTGATCTGCCTCTATTGAATACTCTTCCCCAACCACTCACATAACCAGATCCCAACTTGAGGAAGATGTTTGTATATTCCCTGCTGGCAATACAAATAGGTGTTACATAGCTGTTCAATGTTAAGGGCTTATCCAGCTCAAGAAGGGCGATGTCGTGGCTGTATTTATTAAAGCTTGCATTATAACTATGGTGAGGAATAATTTGAATGACATTTCGCCTTTGCTCTGTATCTTCCTTCTTTTCAATGTTATATTCACCTGTTGGGAATAAATTCATTTCAGTCATGGTTTTTCACATAAACAGATAATCCTTGTGTCTAGTTGGTGTCACTGGCAACTGGCAATCTAGTCTCAAAGATATGAGTCTTACGTGGTTGGTGGGGAAATTAATATGTCAATAAATAGTTGTAACCCACTGAGATAAATGCTTTGGAGATTCATAAAAGATCATGGGGCTTGGAGGATGGAGGAAGCTGGGTTTTAAAATGATGGTCCCTGTACCACTAGAGTAACTTAATCAGTAACTGTTCTAGTGGACTTTAATAAAGCACAATGTATTAATTATGCAGAACTTCTAGCAATGGTGCCAATTATTATCCTTTTTGTTTAATTACCTGCCACTACCTCAATTTTAATACCAGGGTGAATACAGTGTGCAGCAGTTACGACCCACTTTTCATTAATGATGGAACCTCCACAGAATGCTTCAGTGTCACTCTTCAAAAGAACCTGTGGAAAGAAAATTAAGCCTCTTAATGCATAATATATTTGATCCAGAACAAAATGAATGCATATGCTCTTTACTGGTGTGGGAAGACATTTGGCTTCTAGGTGGTGGCTCAAATGGAAGCTTTGGGGAAAGTGTCAGCTTTGCAGATGAATTAGTGTTTCTGTAGCACAACACAAAAAGCTAACTTGGAGAGAATCAGTGATGAGAGATAGAGGCATCCTAGCAGAGACAGACAGAGAAATGGCTTTCTTTGGTGATTTTGGGCCTTAGCACCTCTTTCCCAGGTGAGGCAGATTCTAGGGTGGTAAAAATTGCTTCACAGGGATCAGGCAGATACATTAGGAACATTCTGATGCAACCTCTTGAAATGAGTAGTTATTATTACATCCCCTGTCCTTACATGAGGAAATCTCTTTGGCACAGTTCATTAGAAGAGGAATGGTTACTTATTTTTCCAGCACTCTTGTCCAGCTCTTTCCAAACTGAAATATTATGAAATAAGACCTAAGGCCTCCACAAGGGAAAGTGCAAAGCTTGTGCAAGGCTTCTTGCTCCTCACTCCCTGAGCAGCACTTTCCCCTAACCATTTTGGAACCCTCCCTGGCTGGGTATGAAAGTTGCCTTTGTACTAAAAGCCCTCTTTAACTGTGTTTGATTTGGGACCAACTGGACAAAGGTGTGCAAGTGTAGTGCTCAGCCTGGCCATTATTAGATAAGAGGTCCATTTATTCCTTCACCTGTATATTAATTGCAAGAGATGAATATTTTCACCACCTCAAAGTCTACTTGGAGAATTTCAGTTTCAATATAAGCAATAGCCTTCCTTGATCCATATTTTGAGATAGAAAGCTAAGAAGTGTGAACACTAGAGGGCACACTCACCATTCAGTAGCCCCTTTCAGGAGCCCACTAGCTCTCCCTAAACTGATGCCTCTCTTACCTTAGTCATAAAACCATTCATACCAAAGCAAAGGGTATGGTCAATCTTCTTATGTGTGCGGTAGAGATGGGCCTTGGAGCACACTGATTTGAAGATTCTTCTGGTCCTGAATTCAACTTGTTAAATACCTACTTAGCCTAGATCCTGAAGCCCTAGCCTCTTACTTGGAGACCTAGTGGACAACTCATTATAGGCTTCCGACCTCCTTTTCTAACTGGTTCTCCCACTCTGCCTACGTGTCACTTTTTATTTTGAAAAGTTCTAAAAACATGGAAAATTCTACATAATAATATAGTAAACATTTTATATGAAAGAATTAGTGTCATTGAAATAATTGCCAACTAGAAAGGGAGAATGAGAAAATAGAGGCAAAACAAAATAACACTAAATTCTACTCAAACAATGCTATGTACATATTGCGATCTTACTTTTTGAAAATGGGCAATATATTCCTATATTCAGTATGTCTCTCTTGTAATATGGCTTCTTAGAATTATATTAATTACACAATATTCTTATTCTACCATAACACAAATATGTGAGAATGTTAACCAACTATGACTCTTTCAAAAACATGTGATGAGAAGTATTCTTTTTCACATAACATACCTCAGTTTTTGTTTGAAAAAAATATTTGGAATCAGACAGTATCATAGAGAAGATTGCATCAACAGTCAGATAAAAATGGAAAGTTTGTTAAAACTGATTTATCTTTTTTGGTAAATTACAAAATAAATAAAGCATATATTTATACAAAAAATGTAGTAAACACCAGTGTAACTACCTCCCAGATTTAACAATCTTCCTATTTCCTTTTAACATTTATTAAGTATTTACTTTGGGATAATCATTGTAGTGTTCTATATACATTTAACATTGAAAACATATCTTTAAGGAGAGATGTTATTATATCTATTCACATAGGAGCAATCTACCAGTAAAGTTTAGAGATAATGTCTTAACACAGTGGTGAAGACAGGTTACAAAATTAAGTCTGACTGCCTCCAGTATTTGTGCCTTTGGGTATTTAGTATCTCTCCAAGTGTGGTGTGCCGACCAATTGCAGTATGATTATCTGGGGTGTTTAGAAAGTGCAGATTTGGGGGCTTATCTAGACTCAATCAGAATATTTACTGGATGAGGCTATAAAAAATGAAGCTCTCCAGAATATTCATATGCATAATTAAGTATAAAAAGTTTTATAGACCTACTGAATCCGAATTCTCAAGGCCTGGTAATCCTTATGTTTGAAACTGTTCACTGAATGCTGAGTACATTACTTCATGAGAATCAGGGATAAATGAAATGTGAGGCCTTTTGTTCTGGTGCCAGTGGGAAAACGCACTATTGAAGATACTAAAATGCACAACTTTTCCCATTCTTTGGGGTCTCCCTCACCATTTAGTGTTATATTCCCTTGGCACAGGAGCATTTTCTGAGAGAGTGCAGAGCTTTGCAGTCACCAAGGGGCTGCACCTTACAGTCTAACACTCACACTATTACAACCCCTGCTGCTATCCAGAGCTGGCTGGGCCCAAGCAGGTGAAGATAAATCCATCTTCCTTTATCTTATTTATTTATTTATTTATTTATTTATTTATGTATTTAGGACAGAGTCTAAAGGGTCTCACTATAAAGACCAGGCTCTTTGTTTTCTCCTGTTTTCAGCATCCCAAGTGCTGGGATTACAGACATGCACCACCATGCCCAGTCTCAATCACTGTCTCAGTGTGCCCTGGGGGTGGGGCCAGAACAGCATGCCACTGATCGAACCCTGGCCCTTGTGTTTGCCTAAGCAGGCACTTTAATCAACTAAGCTATCTGGCCGGCACTCCATCTTCTTTTATCACTGATCTACTGCAGCAATCAAGGCAGAGCAGTGATTTCCAAAAGTTGGTTGTGTTCATCTTAGGATGTGCTCAGTACTTGGGAGATTGACAAGAGGCTTGTCCCCACCATTCACCCTTCAAATGTGTTCTGTGTCCCTCTCCTGATCCTGAGATGTCACATGACCAAGCCTCTTCCCAATTAGCACAGAGCATGCCTGGCCTCCGTCCTTTCTGTACCTGCATCCTGACCCTCTCCAGAGAAGGAGCATGGCAAAATAGGTGGGTAAAGACAAGGGCAGCATAGGCCTGGGTGCCATCGGCTGGGAGTTGGCACTGATTTTTAGAGAAGTGTGGAGAGAGAGAAGCAAGGGTATCTAAAGCACCAGGGCATGGTGAGAGATCAGGAGACCAGCTCTGGGAGGTGGTGGAGAAGTGGGAATGTGTTAACACAAGGTTCCAAGTCTCCAGGACATGCTTTGTTGTCTCACCAGATTTCACTTACAGAACACAAATGCACAGTATGGAACCTCACCTATGGGACTCTTCTCATTACAGTCCTCTGCAACTGCATGTGTCACAAGATCATGTGGCTAACGCTGACTGCCAAGTAAATTTTATCACCAAGCAAACTTGAGCAACGTGGTTCTATATCAATCCCAAGGATTACAATTGAGTGAATCTGTCTAAGCAGGTGGACTTAAGAATCCATACACAATGTGTTGGTTCTACCCTGACTGCTCTTTTTCTCGGGGACATTGAGAGTCTCCTAGTTTAGTGGATTAGTTAGGTCAGACTGAATGATCTCCACATGGGCACAGTGACCATGCTGTAGTTTGTCTGACTCCTGCCAAATACTTGCTGCCTGAAATGTCTATTAATTGCCAGTGGATGGCTGAGAAATATGGTTGTGTTCTTTTAAGGCTGAAGAGCATTCTTTGCCAAACTCTGATTAGTTTTGGAAATTTTAGCAAACATCTTTGCCAATAAAAGGCCTAAAATATATTTGTGCTCAAAGATTTTACAAATGGCATGGTCTTGGAATGTTTGCTTGGCCATTTCAGGCCCACAGCTATCAAATATTAGCTGTTGGGGGGTGCGCGATCTGCTCAGCCAAGGACAAGTTATTGTAAAACATGACCTCTGAGAATGATGAGGAAAATGGACATTGTACATTTTGAGCAAGGCATCAGAGTTCTGATCTGTCAAACATTTTCATGGGTGCCACAGTGTAATGGGAGGCTGTCTTCCTCATTTATGGCATGAACGTATAAATGCACAGAACACACACATTCATCGATCAAATATGCTCCTGTATTTATGGTCTCTATGACAGTGCCAGCACAAAGCAATAGCTATTTGCTTGTTCTCTTTTTAGCCTTTAACTCCACACTACCCTTTCTCTGTGATTTCAGTAAGACTAGTTTCTCCCTCCCTACCCACCTAAGCTTTCTAAGAACACTTTTTCTGTGGGCTTTTGACCTCTCTTATACATAAAGGATGACCATTTCTACCTGGTATACAGCTTTCTATGTCCACGAGTGTGACCTGACACTTTGGTTTTTAATAGTTAGCTAGTCATTCAAATAGATTTCTTCAAGTGACCTTAAGGGACAGTAGTCTGACTGTTTAGTCTGAAATAGTTTTAGTCTGGGGCCAGGTAAGATATTACATATGCTGTTATTTATCTTAACTGCAATGTTATCATCTGAGCCAGGAATATCAGGCCTTTTTTTTCAAAGAAAATTATTTCTATAGTCTAAGATCTTCATGAAACATCCCCACACCTCTCAGAAAAGAAAGGTCTGGTTCACACAGTTGATAACTTTCCTTGAAGATTGCCACTGAATTGTGATCTAATTGAATAGGAAGAACTAGACCTGGGTAGCTAACAGTGTAGGGCAGGAGATCAGCTAACCTAAAGGATAGCTCCAGGCCAAGGCTGAGCGTTGCAGAGATTGTGGAACATTAAAGATTTAGGCTAAGAATAGAATAAAAAAATTACCAGATTGATTCTCTAGGCATTTTCTGATGGTTGAAATGGTTAAACTGTGGCAAATGCACATGGTGCAACTTACTATAAGGATCAGGAAAGATGATCACTTGGCTTTTGATGTATTCCATTTTTGCAATCTGGTAGAATGACCTTCATATTATTAAATGTGGAATAAATATGTCCCATAGAGGACTAAGACTCATGATAAAAGAGAAAACAGAAACAAGTACTTCACAC